AAACAATTGATTGTAAATGGGTTTTTAGGAAAAAACTTAAAACTAATTGTACAATTGATAAATTCAAAGCAATGTTGTTTGTTAAAAGGTACATACAAAGAAAAGGTGAAGATTATTTTGATACATTTTCTCTAGTAACAAAAATTACCATAATTAGAGTACTCTTAACCATAGCCCCAATACATAATTTGGTTATTCATTAAATGGACATAAAAACTACATTTTTTAAATTAATACCTTCAAGAAGAAATCTATATGAACCAACTTGAAGGATTTAAGGCTCTAGGACAAGAACATAAAGTATTTACTAAATCTTTATATAGATTAAAACAAGCATCAAAACAATGGTATGAAAAATTTGACAATGTATTAACCTCTAATAGTTTTGTCATAAATGACAATGAAACTTGTATCTATAACAAATTTAATGGTAATTCTAGAGTCATAATATGCATATATGTTGATGATATGTTAATCATGAGAATTAAATTGTCAATTGTGAACAATAATACTAAGAAATTTTTAATGTCTAAATTTGATATGAAATATTTGAGTGAAGTTGATATTATTTTAGGAATGAAAATTTACAAAAAAATAAAGATATTTTATTATCTCAATCACACTATGTTGAGAAAATGCTTAAAAGATTTAGATAGTTTTACAATAATCTAGTTAAAACCCTTTATGATCATAGTATTCGTTTGGTTAAGAATAAAGGCATTATTGTATCTCAATTAAAATACTCCAAAATTATTGGAAGTTTGGTGTATTTAAAAAATTGCATTCATCCTAAAATACTCCAAAATTATTTTATAATGGTTATTCTTCAGTATTAGGATTCAATGATTTAAATTGGATTTCTTATTTAAACCCAATTCTACCAGTGATTATGTTTTCACACTGGGTAGGGGTGTTATGTCTTGGAATTCTTCTAAACAATCTTGCATAGCCAAATCCACCATGGAAGCTAAATTTGTTGTCTTAGAAAAGGCTGGTTCTAAAGTTAAATAACTAAGGAATCTCTTAGCTGATATACCTTTATGTGGAAATCTAGTTCCCTCAAATTCATTACATTGTGCTTACTAGGTTGTTATTGCTTAAGCAAAGAATAAGACTTAATGGTAAAATAGACATATTAGACTAAGACATAATGTAATGAAAAGATTGGTTTTTGATGAGATTATATCCCTTGATTTTATAGGGTTAGAAAAGAACTTGGCAAATCCTCTAACCAAAGCTCTTCCTAGGAAGCTCAGTTTTGAATCTTCTAGAGGTATAGAACTTAGGCCTATTTCAGAGGTCGTTAGTAATGAAAACCTATGTGAGTGGAGATCCCATAAACTAGATTCATATAAGAAAAATGAAGTCATTGGATGAACAATTGAGCACTATAAATTTTACAATTCCATATCTCATGTTCTTTTCCTTTTAAGTGCTCCTTTGCTTTTAAGGTTGAGTTCTATATTGTTAATGAATCCTATTATAATTACAGTTTTTGTATGAAATGGCAATATACATGTATAGCTTTGTTAGCTAATATTAAGTGTAATTCAGAAGTTTAGTAAAAACATTTTTGTTTATTTAATCCTTTTGTCTTTTACACTTAATTGCACATGTCCACACTTTAATATTTATACTCACACAAACTCTATTTTGAGTTTTACCTAAATTTAAAATTAGCCTCCACTTTTGAGGCACTTTTCTCTCCAAAAGGCACATGTCCACACTTTAATATTTATACTTATGTGAATGCATTTATTGTAAATGAATAAAAGTGCGTTATTATTTCATGTTGATATTGGTATGTTTATGTGAAATTATCCCTTAAACTGGACACTTAGGAGATTCATGTTAGTTTAGAATGTTCTCATCCATTGGATAGACTTAAGGAGTTTATCCTGCCAAGGCTGACACTGATGTATTGTCAAAGAAGTTGGGGTAGCTTGTCTCAGCTGCTAGGGTTATAAACACTGAACCCATACCATTTTCCAGTGATGCCCTAGACCTTAGAAATTGATGGGCAAAACTGAAAAGTTACACATAACCCCTACACTTGATTATGGTATTACACTAGGTGTTGGATTGAGTTGTCTTTGATATGCCAATCAGTGAGATCCATTGAGGGTCAAAATCTAGGTATATTGGGGCAGTCTGAGAATTCACTTGAGTGGGTGATCATAATGATAGGATTGGCCCCTTTGTCGGACAAAGTGAATGATAAGGCTTACACTCTCTTTGATGGAAACCTAAACTATTGGCAATGGATTTCAATTGTGTTTGATATTTGGTTTTGCAAAATATATTTATTTGACATATATATACATATACATACACACACACACACACACACACACACACACACACACATATATATATATATATATATATACATATATATATATATATATGTTTTATGAAAAATGTTTGCAAAAAGGTTTTAATTCTCGGGATCCATCCAAGCAGAGAGTGTGACACTGTACCTTTCCGCCAGGGGAGAGGTCCTTCCTTGTCAAGCAGTGTTGTAATCATTATGGGCCAAGAGGTTAACTGTAAGAGACCATTAAAGGTTCATTATTCTTGGGACTTCATAGGATGGTTAAATTTAATGATCATTTAAGTGTAAATGTTGAGCCCATATTGAGCCCATAGTGATTTGCTTAGGGGTTCACTGCGTTTAGTAGTGAATTCGGCCGAGGCTCGGCCGAACCCATGTGGAGTTATTTGAGGTCATTGTGAGGTCCCACGCCATACAAATTAGGCCTAAGTTGGCCTTACAATACCCTTGGGTTATGAGCCTTATAGTTGATGGGCCTGAGGCCCTAAGGCCCATGACAACTTAAGTTGTCATATGACATGGGGTGAACCTAGGTTTGGATCTGGGTATGGAGCACCTAATCTTATAAGAAGATAAGGTATATCTCTAATTAGAGTTCAAATCTGATTTAGATCTGGATTGTCTCCTAATTAGATTAGGAGATAGCTCCATAAGTGATTATAAAAGATGAGGGGGTAGACCAATCCAAGAGAGATTCATATTTTTGTAGTTTTCTGGTTCTCTCTACACCCTTTTGTCTCCTAGTTTTTTCCCAGCTCGACATCAGCTATCTGGGACTGATATAGATCAGTTTTTCCTCTGATTTTTGTAAGAAAAATTCAGAGGATATCAGGCTCAACTTCCCTAGTTCGATCCAAGCAGTTGGATTGTAGTTTTGTTGAAAATTGTGTTGCTGAATCAGCTTCACCTATACACTATGCCATCTTCAGTGGAAGCTGATTTTAGGACTGATTTGAGCGTGAACTTCCCCTTGGGATCTGCATTTGTGGTACCCGTATCAGGTATACATTTCCCTCTTTGATTGGTTTCGAATCTAGTCCGATTCAATGCAAGACCGACCTTGAAAATGCAACTTTCAAAATATGGGAATTCGATTCCCAAAAGGATTAGGAAATTTTTGAAATTTCGTCCAACCATTTAGCATGTTTCGGCCATCCATATGATGGATCCTAACCCTTCCAACACTTATTATTAGTTGGCCTTCGCCTTAAGGACACCCAAATGGGGTGTGTATTATATATATTCACTTGGCTTGTATGGTGGTTGAGAATCCTTTATTACATGCACGCGCCAAGTTAGACTTGGCTAGGTCGGGTCAAGGCATGGGCATGGGCGTGGATGTGGGTTATCTGCCCATAAAGTGACTTTAACTATTTTTTATCACACATGCACGCTTAGTCAAACTGGGTCGGGTCAGGGCATGGGCATGGGCGTGGGTGTGGGTTATGACTTTTTATTTTAAATTTCAATTCTTTTATAACTTTAAACAAAGTGACTCTTCATTCTCGAATTCAAACAAATAGCTTTTCATCTCAAACCAAAATTCGCATCTTTGCATTAATGTTTTTTTAATGGCATCTCTAAAAAGAGTCACCACCTTTCTTTACTTGCAGTAATGGTTTATTTATACCCAAAATCGAGTCTGCCATTGCACACACTCGTTCTCGCATCATACTTGCATTCATTGCAAAGTTCAAGATTGTTGCACTTCGCATGACTTGGTATTTTGAATGCACAACTATTGAGTGTCTTTCAAGGCTATTGAATGCTGCTAGTCGAGTCAAACTGGGTCGAGGTGGGGCGTGGGTGTGGGTATGGGTTATTCACCCACAAAGTGACTTTAAACCGTTTTGTATCACACATGTGTTGAGTCGAGCTAGATTGGGGGTGGTGTGGTGTGAATTATGACTTTTCATTTTAAATTTCAATCATTTTGTAGCTTTAAACTAAGTGGCTCTTCTTTTTCGAATTTAAACAAATAGTTTTTCATTTCAAACCAAAGTTTGCATCTCTCTTCTTTAATGGCATCTCTCAAAAGAGTCGCCACTTTTCTTACTTGTAATAATGGGTTTATTTATACCCATGATCAAGTTTTCCATTGCACACATTCATTATTGGACTACAGTAGCATTCATTGCCGAGTTGAAGATTGTTGCAACTCATGTGACTTTTATATATATTTATAAATATATATATTTATAATATATGATATAATATTTATTATTTAAAATATAATATTATATTATAAAAATTAAAAAAAATCGAAAAACCGACGAACCAAACCAATCAACTGATTAACCGATTGGCTTCGGTTACCGATTTTCCAAAAACCAATAGTACCGATTCAGTTACAGAAAAAAGCCTAGCACCCCTTCTTTTAAGTGCCTTTTAAGCTTGTTGAATCCTGAAATAGAATGCCAATTTTCCTATATTACACTGGACTTGATCCGGATGAGGTCAAATTTTGATTAAGGATAGTGTTTCATACATGCCTCAACTGACCCTAACTCCTGCATTTACTGTTCTGCCCTCTTACACTTCACAGTAGCATCCAATTACATGCACAACAGGAGTTGAGACTGCAACAGAATTCAATTCAATCCTTCCCTCGTAGGTGAGTCCACTAAGGAGTTTGAAGCTATATTAACCCAAGATAAGCAAACAAGTTAGGCAAGAAAACAAGTAGTTGGCTTTCGAAATATGCTACCAAGCCAAGGGCCAAAACTTTAATCCCTAACCAGCCTATAATAGGCCAAAATATCAGTGTTTAGAAAATTGGAATAGAAACCTGTTGGACCAGTTGAACCGTGACCCAGGCCCCTAGCCGATTTGGTCATACCCCCAAAACTGGACTGGGTAAAAAATGGAATTTCATACAGATGACTCTGCTCAAAACCGAGTTTACTTGGACTACATCCCCGTAGAGTTTATAGAATGCACAATAAAGGGCATTTTTATCAATTACACTCTTCTACTCAGCTTTTGAATAGTAGGAACACAATTATCACCAAACATGGCTTACATCAACCAAAGTAGCTTCTTAATAGCAGCTCAACAAAAGCTTAAGCCCTCCCAATCGGGCCCTTAAGCCAACCCAAACTGGGCCCATGCCTGTAGGTCCCAGTATCCTAGAAGCCGCCGTTCTTGATTATTTCTAGAACTTCTAGCCTCTAGAATCTCCCGTATTACCAAAGCAGCACCATCAAAGTTTTAAACATTTAATTGTTTATTTTTCGGTAAGAAAGATCTATTCACAGGTCAGCGCTCCCACTCTTGCTGTGCCGTGCTTAGAGATGAAGATGCAATCTGATGCCATCTTCGGATAAAATCTTGGGTATTAGGAAGCAATTCTGGTCAGGAGAAAGAACTATACAAATCTGGAACCAGAACAAAGGTCCAATGAATCGATTGAATAATTAAGACCAACCAAACAATGATCAGAACAGTGCTTGAGAATTTGAGAGCAATTATTTCAACGCTCACCGGAAAATACTTAAATTTACCCAACATGAGAATCGACTTAGCATTTAGGTATTAGGAAAATGGAATATGGGCAATGTGTTTTGGTGCAGGAGGGAATAAGTACAGCAGAGTGCGAAAAGCTAAAATTGAAGATCAAGATGCGTGTGGCCCATCCTTGAATTTATTGCAAAACTGCCGGAGGATGGAATTAGGGAGGCCATAATTGTGCATAAGTGAGATATATCCAAGTCAATAGATACTCAAAATGCCCGAGTTGAACAACGAAGAGGAAATCCAGACTGCCACAACAATGGAAACATGTTAACACCAAACAAACAGCAATAACCATTTTGATCAAGATGTCCTCCAGCATCCATCATCCCCCGCAAGAGAACAACAAAAACATCTAGTCAAGTCTAATAGACTATTATCTTAAACCCACAGTCCATATATGGCCACTGCAATGAAATTTGAATCAAGTAAACCGCAATTTACAAAGTCAATAGTTTAAAGTAAATTTGTAAAGGAATTCAAAAGTGGTAGGAAAAAGTATTAAGATGACAATGAAGATAGTTTAAGGCACTCACTCTGGCACCTCCTAAGGCAAATATCATTCCAATTAGGTACTTGATGTTGATTAACGCAAACAGTGCGAGCACAGGCATCAGTGCAAGCATCAAGTGCAGAAACACCACATACAGTAACACAAGTATCAGGAGTTGGGTCTTTGGAGAATGCACCAACTTTCTTCAACATCCTCTTTGATGTACATACCCTCTCACAGACAAATATATCATCAGAGCTCTTCTCCCGTCCTCTTGCACTCTTCAACCTCTGTTCCTCCGCACGTCTTTTTCTCATCCTCAAAGCTTGACCTGCAACAACAGCTGGTATTGCTGCCCCCAAAAGAGTCACCCATAAATCCACCATTATGAATTCTGCTAAAGAGAAGCTTTTACCTTGATGATTGATCCTTTCTGCTCTTTTCCTATTAAAACAATAGAAGGACCAATAAGCATGTATACTAATCTTTCTGCTCTTTTTCCTGTTACATCAACTAGGTGCAACAGTTATGCCTGGACTCGAGTGACACTTTAAAAAGATGATCTGAGATTCAATGATAAAAAATAAAAAATCCAGAGAATGTTTTGTTTGTTCAGTATAGTGCAGTCATGTATTGCAACTGGTCTGTGTTCCAATACTGTTAAAAGCGATTATTGTCAAAAAAAAACTATTAAGAGAAATACCAAAAAGGAAAAACAGACCAATGAAATGCCAACTCCTAACTAGTGTTGGAGCCACCTAAAACTAAATGATTTCAGCTTGTTTTTGTTTTCATTTAAGACCACCACATTACCTTATACAAATGATTCGTTTCAGAAATGTAAACAAAAATTCAAATGAGCTCATTCAAGTATTTCAAGAAACCAAAGAGAGTTCAGTTTAACTTCTACTTTTAGAGCTTTTGGAGTTCAAAAATCAATAGTTGTTTTATGGCTTTGTGTTCCAGACTTAGTGTTTCAAAAACGTGTTTGATAGCACCTAGTTTTATGCTACAAGAGTTGAACAGCATACGAGCTTTTTGATTGTACTAAACTTGTTTTTCTCAGAGTATGCTATTTTTCACCATTTTCCTTCAAATATTTAATGCATGCTGATTGACATTGATAAAATAAAAAAAAAATTGGTATGTGCCATCCAAAGATGACAAGCATCGGAACTACCTGCCATGTGGTTTACAAAAGCCTCAATACTCATGTAACCACAATAAGGCCATCAAAGCTGTCTCAATACACATACATACCCAAAAAAACACAAAAAAAAAAAAAAAGCAATGACCCAACACACATCACCTGCTGTATATGGTTACATCCACTAAAGCTGTGAACGATGATTACAAGGAACAAAAGTACACAACTATATCTTAACTAAAAAATCCAAATTGAGTTGTAAGTGTAACTTATCATGCAGTAAAGTATGACATTTTCAATCGAAAGTAGTTCATACAATTACAACATTCCAATCATACAGAAATACATTCAGATATAAGGCAAAACAATAATTCTCCAGTCCATAACAAAAATGTATGCCTCCAAATTAGAAAGATAAGAACATAATAGTAGTGCATAGGCAAACTACTGTATCTATTTTTTCAGTAACTTAAAATTTATTGATTTACACAAAGAATAAAGAATTTGTTACATAGAATAAGCCAAACATCCCTTTGTTTGGCAAAATCACTCTCTTCCCTATTTTTCATTCTTCTAGCACTGTTTACTTACATTACATTTTGATCTCCAACAGTTGTTGCTTGTTTAACCCTTGTTTGGCTAATCCATTGGCAATTGCATTAACCAACATAAGTACCCATTTGGAAGTCATGTGTATGTTCCTTCCCAGTTACCTTATCTACTCCAAAAATTGTAGTATTTCCAAGTAATGCCCCTTCCATTTTGTAAACATCTCATAACCATTTATGAAATTTACAGTTATTGATAAAAAAAAAAACATTTTTGAATCTCTTTCCACTATCAAATTCTCTAAGATTTAGGGACTTTGCTATCCTTAAGCCTTGAAGCACAGCCACTAATTCCATCTTGTTGAGTTTCCTTCCCCAATGAGACCACTAAATATGGATAATTAGTCCTCCGCTATCTCTCAAGATGCCTTTAATACCCAACAAACTAGGATTACTCCTCCGCTATCTCTCAAGATGCTTCTAATACCCAACAAGCTAGGGTACTCCTCTGCTATCTCTCAAAATGCCTCTAAACCCAACAATCTAGAAATACTCCTCCACCATCTCTCAAGATACCTCTAATACACAACAAGCTAGGATTACCTAGATTGCAGCCGTCATTATTTAATTTTTTTCATGTAACCCAAGTGGTTCTGGTATTAGATGAATCTTCTACCCCATTCCAACCACTTTTGATGCCTTTTTTTTGGGTAAAATAAATTGACTTAAATATACCCTGAGTTTTTCAAAGACTTAAATATACCTTGTGGGCTGACCCATGTTTTAAAATTTTAAAGAAGAAGAAGATATGGTTGGAGGAGAGAAGAGAGAAAGAAAAAGATGACCAACGGGTACTGGTTCAGGTAACACAGAGAGAGAGAGAGAGAGAACAAATAGGATTCAGGAATGGGTTTGTTGAAAAATGTATGTTATATTAATTTTATATGGGTACGGGCACTGAATTGAAAGGTTAGTTGGAGAATAAAGCCATATAAGAGTCATTCACGATTTACATCAGGGCTATTATATTTTCCAGAGTCCGCATCCAGCTAGGTTTTACTATTGAAATTTAAAAGATCAAAGGTTTTGGGGAGAGTAAAAAGAAAGCAGGAAAGAAAGAGGAAAGAAAGAATAGAATTATAAAGAGGTTCTCTCTCTCTCTCTCTCTCTCTCTCTCTCTCTAATTAAATAAAACATAAACTCCATCCTTATTCTTTCTATTTTACTTTCCATCTTGAATATTTATCATATATTCAACTTGTAGAGGCCTCAATTGTATACAACTTGTATACCTTTTTATGGGCTTTGAATAAATTTTTACCTTAACTCTTCAAAAAAAAAAAAAATCTTGAATATTTATCATATAAAGCTAACCTTCTTTAACTGCTAATTGATATGAAATTTCTCTATTAAATTCTTATTATAGTAGTATTATTTTTGAAAATAATGAAATTAATACATGTAAAATATTTTTATCTTATAGATGTGATTATTTGCCATATTTTTAGAGGAAATTTAATGTTTTTAATAAAGAAAATTGCTATTTTTTCAATTAATATACATGTTGAATGGTATATAAAACTAGGAAACTAGCCAAAAGTTAGTTTTCTATATTAATAGTAGTGTTTACAACTTCTTGTTCTCCTCCACAATCCTCCCAGCCATTCTCCGAGGCTCACTCAATAGAATGGAAGGAGTGACTCAAAATTTTGATGGAAATGCCTCAGGTAATCCCAGTGTAGCTGGAATTGGAGTGTTAAGAGACTGTAGGAGCAATGTTTGCTGGGTCTTTAGTGGACCAATTAGAATTGCTGACTCTACTAAGGCTGAGGTTATGGCAGCTCTCACAGGTATACATATTGCTAGAGAATTGGGCATTGAACCTAACCATTGAAGGTGACTCTGCAAATATTATAAAATGATTAGAAGAAAAGGAGGGTCGCCCTTGGAGGCTTAGTCATTTTTTGTCAGAGGCTAGAGATTTATTGGATCTCATGACTGTAAACTTGCTTGGGATTCCAAGGGATCTTAACTCAGTAGCAGATGGCCTCGCAAAGCTCGGTGCCCATTTGGATGTTTTGTATCGTGCTAGGTCTCTTCCTGTGTAGATCCTTTGGGGCTTCCCCGAGTTTTACATGTACATCATCTCATGTTCCTCTTTTTTCATTATTGAATTTCAGTTACTTTCTCTCAAAAACTCTAAACATCATGGGTACAGCTTACTATATATAGCACACTACCTATCAGCATCAAATTCAAGGTTAATTCATTAAAGCATAACTAAAACCCAGATTGGAGTGCACAAATCTAGGTTCAGGTGAGGTGCATCTCACAGAATGAGTCTTGCCATCCTGTGAGCCAAGGCAGGACCATGGAATGCCTTTTATAACAATGTTCATCAAATATGAATTCAGAATAATCTTTACGCAGATCAACCCTAGCTACAATGAAATATCAGTTTACACAACAATCGCAGCCACAAAGAAACCTCATTCAAACATCATTTTTAATCTTATTCTTCAATCATCGATATGCATTGAGAGCAACACCACCCCCCCCTCAGATAAATAAAAAATATAAATATAAATATAAAATTGGTCCACAAAACACAAATGAAGTACCAACAAAAGGAATGAAATAAATCTTAACCACACATGACGAGCAGGGCATACATCAATCGACTAGACATTAATAAAACAACTCTATAAACCCTAACCTGCCATGGTTCCATGGCGATAAAGAGAAGGAAATATCAGGGTGCACAATAGTATTGAAATCTCTTCTATGAAGTTCTCTATCCTCTGTGACAGGGTTCGGAAATTGGCAAAACAAAAAGAAAAGAGAGAAAAACGGGATATAGCACCCAAGTGTAGCTTACATAATAAAACACAAGTAAGCACACGTTCATGCAGCATTTGTGACAAATTTACCCTTTCTTTTTTGTTATTCAGTGTCACTTCCCCTTGACCCCTTTTTCCCCAACGTGCTGGTTGGCAGGATTCAATTCTGCATCAACGCTGGAACAAACCAGCTAATACACCAACGAGCCAGCCCTCGGTTGGTTAAACACAGATAAGCTTGAGCCTTGAGCACTGCATTTTCTACTGTTCTGGTACTTTTATGTGGAGCCCAATTTGTTGTAATTTTGTCTTCTACACATTCCGCCAAATACGGTATTAATCAACCAACAGGGTGGCAAATGGGTGGGTTGGGTTAGGTTGGGTAAGGGTTGAATACCAACCCACCATGACCCATCATCAATTCTTGTTAAAGGGTCACCCATACTAACCCACCTACCCTCACCTATAAATACAGAAACAGGTTGGGTCGACCCATATACCCAAAATAACAACTTTTGAGAACTAACTCTCACAAGGCTGCCATGTTGCAGAAACAAGTCGGGTCGATCCATATACCCGAAACTAACAGTTTTTTGAGAGAACATCTGTCAAGGCTGTCACATGGCAGAAACAGTGGGTCAGGCCAACCCGTATACCCAGAAAAAAAAATGCTTTTGGGAGAACCATCTCTCAAGGATGTCACATGGTGGGTCGACACGTATATCCAAAAAAACATTTTTGGGAGAATAATCTTTACCAAGGCTACCATGTGGCAGAAACAAGTTGGGTCGACCCGTATACCTGAAAATAACATTTTTGAGAGAATACTCTCTACCAAGACTACCACGTGGCAGAAAGGTCAGGGTGACCCGTATACCCGAAAATACAAAAAAAAAATTATGCAGAAAATGCAAAAAAGGCAGAAATATTGAAGAAAATTCAGAAAAAATACAGAAAATACCAAAAAATGCAGAAAATACCAGAAATTGCAGAAATGCATGAAAACACCAGAAAATTGCAGAAAATTCAGAAAAAGAATAGAAAATTGCAAAAAATACCAGAAAAATTGTAGAAAATACAGAAACATTGCAGAAAAATACCAGAAAATTGCAAAACTAATGCAGAAAATTAAAAAAAATGCCGCAAATGCAGAAAATAGAAGAAAATGCAGAAAAATAGCAGAAAATTGCAAAAGAAAAAATAACATTCATTATAAGCAGCCATGAGAAAAATTAAGTACATAATATACAACATAAAGACATTAAGTTGAAGTTGACAATGAAATTAGTTTGTGGCATAAGTGAAAATTTTCATGGATAGCACTGATAAAAAAATCATGGATGGCAAGAGTGAACCAAGAAGCAAGTAGCAACTGATATGATTCCATAATCATAATGATAAAAACAAAAATAAGTCAAAAACTTTCATGGTCAAAATAATTCAGATTTGATACATAAAATCTGCTTGGATACATAAGTGATGAGAAATCTAGTTTGCGGACTGAAAGTGAATAAGTGATAAGAAAACCATGGAGGTAAATGATACAGATGTCGTATACATAGATTGTACAAGTTGGATATGAGACATTACTCATGGGCCCTGATCCAATAGACCCAGATCGTTCCACCATTACCAGATGTGGAGAGTCCATTTTGTGGTTGTTTTTCTCTTATGCTTGGTTGAGTTAATTGTTGACACAAAGATGAGAAATAGGTGATAAACTGATAATAATAGATAGGAGTAGAGGTGGTCATTAGCAAAACTAATTGGTGTTGATTCCTATCGTGTTCTGTGAAAATTTGGAAGGTTAATTGTCTCAGTCATTCCCCTGGTTTCTAAGAAGTGATTAAATTTCTATATTTTCAACTTTTAAATCCAGACTAGATGTTAGCTCGGGAACCTACTTATAGACCATCAAAGCACAAAAGATGAGTGGCTCAATGGCACAGTATGATTACTCTTGCTGCTTACCGGAGACAGACATCAATCTGGTAAAGAATTTGTAATTGCAAAACTCTCCTTGTCAATAAGGAGTTAAACATTTAAATGGACTTTAATTTGGGAAATGAAAGCTCCCCCACTGGATATCATCTTAATTTTCTGGACCTACACTCTAACTAATGTTTCACACCTAATGTTGGGTGTGCTACTACTTAACAAATAGTGGAACATTTGCTTACTAACTGTCCTTTCATGAATCTCATCCGACACCAATTCAATGCTAAACCTTTAGTTTGGCATTACTAGAGTTTTTGGGTTACCTGTGTAAATTCCTAGAATTTTGGGTTATTTAATTTATTTATAATGAATTTAATGTTACTTGTCCCCAACTGTGAATTTATGATGGTCTTCTGTATTTAGGATGTTAGAAGAACTGAACAAGGATCAGGCCCTGTTCTGCAGACTCAGAGTAGAAATAAACAGTTAACATTGAATAGAGGCAAAGTAAAACTGAGGTGTGGATCAGTAGATGAAAGTCTGTATCACTTTGCTCTTAATCATAGATTCATAGGAGAGTGGGTTTGGAGTTGGTGGCCTTGTGGGGGTCTCCACACTAGCCTTTTTATTTGTGGACCCAACACTCACTATCAACTTCAGTCATCATCTCAAGCCCCACATCATCTCCCAAGCAATCAAAAGCATTCCCAGCCACTTGTACACAGTTTCTATCACCTATTAGGCCTGAAACATAACACCTTAATGACCTCTCCAATCTCACCTCAAAGCCCCCCCACCCCCATTTGGATCAGCCATCAAAGTCCATGGTTTCTGCACTCTCAGTATTTGGATTTTGGATCAAACTGGTGTTAACTCCTTTTAGCTCTTTTTGGAACAGTCAGAGGGGACAGAGACTCAGAGAAGCTCTTTTCACCATAAGCTTACATGAATTACCAAAAGATCAATCAACATTTACAAATAGATTTCAACAAGTTTGATGGTTAATAGGGGTGTTCACAGGTCGGTTAATTGGGGTTTTCCCAACCGACCCGACTTGGTCGGGTTACCTGAGGTGGAAACCGAAACCAACCCACTGATAGGCCAAACCGACCTAGTCGGTTTGAGTCGGGTTGGGTCGGTTTGGGTCGGTTTCGGTTTTGCTCCTGTACAAAAGGACACCTAATTGAATTCTAATTGTAATTGCCTAATGGGTTGCCTATTGATGTAAAAGATTATAGAAAGTTAGAAACTATGATAGATTGCCTATTCTAATTGTAACTGCCTAATGGGCCTTCTAGTTCTAGTAGAAGACTAGTTATAGTTAAGTAGGAAACTACTCAAACTAGGAACTTCGGGTCGGGTTGGTTTCGGTTTTCACACAAGAAAACCGAAACCGACCCGATATATCGGTTTATATATTTGCCCAACCCGAAACCGACCGGTACTGATGAAAACCCGAACGACTCGGATTGGGTCGGTCCGGGATGGTCGGTTTGGTCGGGTTGGGCATTCTTATGAACAGCCCTAATGGTTAATAAAAGAACAAATAGATTGGTCTATGACAAACCATTAGTTTCTATTTTATGGACCAAGATGTCAACCATAAACAGCAGAAAAACTAAGACAGAGATTTATCTGGATGAAATTTTCAAACTTTCACCTACAATTTCAAACTATTATTTTTTTTTCAAACATCAAAATGGTGAAACCTCTCACTTTAGCATATATATATATATATATAAATTTATTGAAAATGTATGATAGAAATCTTTTATTTTGGAGATAAACTTATATAGTAAGGGGATTTGTGCAAGTGTTCAAAATATATGGAACCCATTGATTCCAAATTCCAAATTCCAAATACTTGAAAATGTGTTCTGTCTTTAGTAATAAATTACACCACAACAATTCTGTTATTAGGGCTAAAGATGTAGCCAATAGTCACTCACTAGGACAAGTATTGGGCCTAAAGCCAGTGCCACTGAACAAGCAAGTAAGCATGGCCGAGACAAATATTTCAGAAACAGTCTAGAGAAAGACTAAAAACCAAGCACAAATTGTAACTTGGAACTATGGGGCTGGGATCTGGGGAGAATTTGATAAAAAAAAAAACAGAAGAAGAAAAGAACTTTGCTAGGGAAAGCATAACCATTCCATTTATTAGATTGCTGATAAATCCAGAAATTCATCTCCTATGGAACTGATGCTTTTCATATTCATACTGAGAAAAATAAAATAAAGGACAGATCAGTTGGGTTGATGGATCTTGCTAACCATGTTGGTATCTAAGCGCCTTTCCTCTGATAATTTTCAATCCAGTTCTCTAGCAATCGAAATCTCATTTAATAGGTTAAATCTGTTATGGCCTAGTAACTGAAGTACTGACAGGAATAATTAATTACTGGACTATTCCTTTTCATATCTAAAACAGGAGCTATGAGTTAAGATCATAATAAATTTTCTTCTAATGATATAAACCAATCAAATAAATACTAAACTAGTAAAGAATCGATAAACTAAAACTAGTGAAGATAAACGAAGCCTCATTAAACTAAATTCGACCTCAAAAGTCAAAACTGAAACTAGTAAAAAATGGATAAACGAAGCCTCATTAAATTAATCAGATTTTAAAATCTATCACCGAATTGGAAAATTCACAAAGAAACCAGAATATGTAAACTGAAGGTCTGTTAATATAAAATCAGAAGAAGAAAATAAAGGAAAAGAGAAGAAGGAAGAATCAGTTTACCTTTGAGGTTGCACCTTGCACGGGCAGCGAGAGAAAAGAAGCCGCTCCCTCGACCCTTACTCAGAGAATGGAAGAGAAACTTTCGACCGTGAGAATGGTGAAAGAATGGCAGAGACCAGATAATGGCAGAGGAAACCCTCGACCCTTACTCAGATAATGGCGGAGAAACCTTCATGAAAGAACGGCAGAGAGAAGAGAATGGCAGGAGGAAACCGTCGACCCTTACTCAGATAATGGCGGGGAAACGACTTGAGAATGATGAAAGAACGACAGAGAGCATAGAATGGCAGAGGAAACCCTTGACCCTTACTCAGAGACCCTCGAGTCCTCGACCAGAGTTTCGAACTTTCGAACCAGTCTGAAACCTTGACCCAACCCATCCTGACCTTATGGTAGTTTCGACCGAATGGGTGTAGGTATAGGGATGCAAATGGATCGGATCGGATTCGAATGAGGATATATTTAAATTCGATCTGATACTGTTTATGTTCGGACCCAATCTGATAGAAATCGATTTAAATTCAAATCTTATCGATAAGTTGAATCTTCATATCTGATCGATTCGACTTGTTTTCTTTAAGGGTAAATTATAAAGACCCCCCCCCGGTACTATGGGGTCTATGATCGTGAGACAAAACTCCCCCTTAACAATTAAGTTAGATGACAGAATGCGTTAAATTACCAAAATACTTCATTAAACTTTCATATCTGATCAATTCGACTTGTTTTCTTTAAGGGTAAATTA